CCCATCAGCAGTAGAACAGCCATCAGTCAGCACAACCCAGACAAGCAAGAAAGTTACCCCCGCTAAGAGCAACATGACGCAAGAAGGACAAGGCGAAGGACATCGATACCCAACAAGGCACAGAAGCCCACCAAAACGTTATATGTATGAACAATATTAGGACAGTCATAAGAGATATGAACATTCAGAGACATTATTATTGAGTTATTTTTTCTATCACAGTGATTCATAACTAAGAAGGGAGGAAATGTTAGATTTGCATTGATTGACATGTAATTATATATGACGATCGTACATAATAAAACACAAATACACCACACCTAACAAATTCAAAAGCATTTCATACCTGCATGTTGAGTTTTTGCCATCTGTATTTTCACAAATGCCATGATTGCTGCAGTTTGATAAAGATGAGCAGTCAGAAGGCTTGCTGCAGTCTTCGCCCTGAAATCCAAGTTTACACTTGCACTGATTGCTTGATATGCAGTCTCCATTTTGAGAGCACTGTTTAACGTCTGGGCAGTCAGGAACACCACAACTAACTCCGGTCCATCCTCGGTCGCATTTACACTCGTAAAGGTTTATGCAATGACCATGACCTGTGGCAATTAAAGGCCAATGGTTGTAAGGCAAACCTCAATTGTAACTCATTAATATTTGCCYRTATAAAACTATTACGGAGTTTTRATACCTGAACAGAAGGACAAATCGTGGCACGAAAAATCAGAGCAGTTTTTACCAGTCCATTCTTTATTGCATTTGCAAACGTCAAAATCTACGCAGACACCATGAGAAGAACAATTTGCAACTTCATAGCAAGTAGGTATAATACTGCAGTTCTTTCCTTTTTTGTTGAAAAGACAAGTAAAATAAAGAGTTAAAATCAATGAAAATAAAATGGCGAGGGAATTGGCTGGGTGGGATGGGGAAAGAGGGAACATGACCCAGTGTAAGACTAGCTTTGCTAAACTGGTGTATTTTATAAATACTTTTTTAAACCTTCTTTAAATAAAATTTACTTACTTACTCACTATGACATCAAAAGCATAAACTACAGCCAATATATATATATATATATATATATATATATTTATATATAATATATAGGATTTGCATCTCGTTGGTTAACGTGTGGTTTGCACGCTATTTCTAACTAAGAAATGAAGCCAGGAAAGCCGTTATCCAACTGAAATTAGTTATCGAAATTACACACAAGGGTATAACTTATCATTATCATTTTTTCCCTTCAAACTATTACTAATGTCGTGTACTGTATATTAGATGTAGAAAATTAAAGTTTAAAGTGTTTATGGACTACTTACCTGTAAATCCATCATTACAAAGACAGATATCAGTTGTTTTGCATTTGCCATGAAGTGGACTTGTACAGTTGTTTCGATTAAAACATGTGGCTGTACAGCAATAAAAAGAAGGCATTTCAAATATATTTTTTCAAACATTGCATGGTTTGTTAAATCGATCTGTTTATTTTGAATGCAATTGCTTAAAGATGTCTCCTTTTCGTAGACAACTATATCTATTTTTACCTTCCTGGTCGCAATTTTCTCCTTCCCAACCTGTAATACAGTGACAAAACCCACTGATACACTTGCCATGCAGTATAGAGCAATTGCTACATTGTCCTAAATAGCAAACAAATTAGTAAGCAAACTCACGATAAAAAAACTTGAAAAATTATTTTGTACCACCTCCCCACCCCACCCGTATAAATTCGCTCACCTATTTCACAGGTATTCCCCGACCATCCTTCAATGCATTCACAGGTTTGATTTATGCATCGACCTCTTCCAGAACAAACGTTTTCACAACCTATTAATTGCAGGTTATTTAAAGAATTAGTATGATAACATAACATAAAATTTTCAAGATACTGCTACCAATTTAATGTTAAACCCATTCAGATTCTTGTTTGTCATTGGCAAATATGGACCCCTTTACTTTGGAAGTTATGTTCCCATTTCAGATCCTGTGTCATTCCCCTTTGAGAAATATTTAGTTTAGGTATTTTTAACGCTTTGGAAGAAATGAATGCCAACAAATAAACATTTTTTTGAGGAGGTTTGAAATAGGCAAACTTATACCTCCATCTTAACAGGGTAAGGAAAATAGAAAAAAAAAGAGCACAGATTCCATAGTGGAAAAGTTTGTTTTGTTTTATATTTTCATGTAAGCCTAGCATCAAATATAATTTCAAGAGGGTTCTATACAATGCACAGCAATAAATACCTTGCTGAAGTGTTTCTTGTTCAGACAGTGATGTGTCATTTGTAATGGCGATGTCATATACGCAGCCTTTCAGCAAATCCCCAGTCAATCCCATGGATGAGCATAAAMGTKTCGCTTTCTGGATATTATAGAAAAMAATTCTGATGAGTGAKAGAGTGATACCATGCTGTAGGAATATGTCTTTCAATATTCGAAGGCTTAAGGTTGGAGTAAAGATGAAATCTATTACATATATAGGATGGAATCATGTCTGTAAAGACGATATTAGTTCCCAAAAGATAATTGATGACGCTTAAGTAAAATAAAATAAAAAAGGGTTCAAGCCTCATAACATAAAAATGAAAAAAGGAGTCATAGTTAATAAATTTATGCGTAACAAAATGTATCAAGCCTGGGTTTCAATAGCGACGCAAGCATAACGGCTTATATACAAAAGACAGTCTTTCCAGGGTAACCTTCTCATATTTGGGTGTATAAGACGACATTTCGTCGACCTTAAAGTACTTCTGCGTTTGGGTATGTTATTATTATTGTGCTTGCCTAGCTAGCAAAACCAGTTTTTAGCTAATAAACCTTTATTGTTCGATCATCGATCCCTTGTAGATTGTAAAGTGGCACAAACGCTGGGTCAATATAAGAATGATCCATAGTGTCTTCGGGATGAAAATTGGAGTCTTTCCATGACCATCCGTAACTTTGACTGCTAGAAGTCGTTATTTTCCCTATATCACCAAAGACAAAATAGAACTTCATGTATCACATTAAAAATATATTCTACAGGCACTTATATTTATTTATAATACACTCTACAAAATTACTCGATTCTGATCGGACAAGAGGAGTACAATTAAATTCCAAATTGTACTCTGTATCATTTAGGCAGCACTTACTTTTCAAGTATTTCAAGACCCTAATTGTTTGTTTGAAACTGATTGAGAAAACTACAGGAAGAAACTTACAACTCTCTGCAAATTTGATTGGATCAGTGTATATCTTGCCATCTGGTCCCTGAAAATCATTGGATGGATCCCCATCCATGTACCCATACAAGCCACTGGTTTTTCTTTTAAAATCTACGGTAGGCGTCAGCCCTATGTTGATGTATTGTCTTCCCATTACTTTGCTGTGACGAACGTCGAAGCTTACCGCTGCACCTTTAAATAATAAGATGAACAAACAATATAGAATTGTGTCACGGCAGCCAGTATCTAGGAACAGGGACATGCAATGGGCATCAATGCAATAGAGGCTTTGCACCATCACGTGATGGCAGCCATGGGGGGGGGGGGGGGGGGGGGGGGGGGGGGGGGGGGCATAACAATAGAGTCCTTTTCTCTTGGGAAAATGAATCCCGCTCTCTGTAAATCAGATTAGACCAGAATCAATTGTTCCTGCTCCCTGTCATGGTTGCCATCTTGGTGCAAAGCCTCTATACAAGAGATTTTAAGTCCCAAAGGAGAAAACTTCCGAATATCTTCAACAACATGGCTGCAGTGAAAGAAACCACTCTATAAACGAAGAATATGGTGCTTCTGCAGATTGGATGTCCTTACTTTTACTTTTTTTAATAAGATAAAAGAAGAGAAACTTAGTTAMTAGTTACCTGATTTGTATTCAACGGACATCAACAAAACTGCTGAGTCGTTTGATTCTATTTTTGACTTTCTGGACAAACTAATCATTACTGTTCCATTGTCCAATTTGAATTCTTTACCCAAAGATGAGATTACGTSTAATTTTTGTCCATTTAACCTGTAGAAGAATAAAGAAACTGTTTTCAACCAGCATTCGTAAATAGCATTTTTGAATAGCGTTTTGCCAGTTCGAAGTAGGCTTATCCAGAACCGAGTAGGCCAGAAACAAGCTGACCAAAAGGTTAGACTTAAAACTGAACTCAAACATTGCTAAAAACATAACAGTGTGTTTGTTTGGAAGGAAAAAAATTACATGAGGTTGCTGTTTTTGGGAWTATAAAAAGTGGTTCATCATTTGTTTAGGGTTCGGCAACCCTTATAAGATGTTTTCTCGGATTCTATTGTTTTCCTCACTGCTTAAAAATCAGCCTCTTAAAACAATTCAGTAAATGATATTCCACGTGATACCCAATAATACCAAGATTAGACAGAAGCTGATAAATTTGAACTTTAAATTTTGWTCTGTCGTACCTTAGTAMWGGAAAATCGGCGATGTTAGGTGTACGAACAGTCATTAATGTGATGGTGTTGTTGCCTGCTTTCAGTGCAATTCCTCCCGTCAAGGAGCTTCTTTCGTAGGCAAAGAAGCGGAACTGAAGACCAAAGTCATTCTCRATGCTCTGGCATCCCCAGAGTTCACCAATACCAAAATAGTCATAATTTACTCCTAAAGTATAATAATAATGTATTAAATATGAGACCTTAAACAAGTTAAGTTGTCTATATACTCAATGTGCTAGAGCTGGGCATTGGGAAGTTTTCTTTATCGAAAGCTTTTAAAAGAAAGAAACGCCAAAAATTTAAATGGGGAATCGTCAGTCAGTCGCGCCCTTTCTTTTTACTCCGACATGGATAAAGATATGATTTTCTTGGAATGTCGGTTTTATTGTGCTAAAAGCTGAAAATAAGTTAAACTGAAAACATCATGCATAGAAAATGTAACCAACTTCAAATTACGAGAAAGAATAATGAAGACAACATCATTCCATAGTGTGAGGTTATTTTGAATAACGTCGACGCGCAATGTGTTGCACGCAATGTTTCTGGATCCTAATTCAGCAACATTGTGTGTAATATTGTGCGCAATGTTGCAGGCAATTGATGTTGCGAGCCATGTCACACGATGCAATCTGTAGCACGCAATGTAGCTGAAGTAGAAAACGAGCCTAATTCAGCAACCTTGCCCCCAATATTGCGCACAATGTCGTACCACATGTGTGCGTATTAAAACTACTAACCATCGAACGTAGTCAAATGAGGATCACCAGTAGTTATCGATGGTGCTCTTACATCGCATGCGAGGCCAATCCATCCTGGATCACATTTACAAGTCACGGTACAGTTCTCAGAGCCAAAGGGTTGGCCATTGACGCACCCTAGAAATATTGTAACCTTTTTTCACTATAACTCTGTTATTAAATGTTGATAGTGATAATAATGGTCCTTATTTAGTGAGGGTGACACATGACAGTCGAAACTAAGGGCCAGGTCAGACGCCGTAATTCACATGAGCCGAACCTAATTGTAGTTTGGATCGTCTTATGGAATTAGTTCGACTGGGTTGAGTCAAAAGTCGAACTTATTACGAGTATTTACAGTCGTACCAAAAACAATCATGTCATTGAGTGGTCAGCGGCAAACGCATCATAATGGCGTCTGCCATGGCAGCACGCCGGATATTGCTAATAAAAAAAAATTGAATTCATGACGAAGTCAGGCTACCTTCAAAAAAAACAACATGCTTTTGCAAAAAAGAGGTGTTGCACTGCTACGCGTATGTTTTGTTTCTGCTCTTCTTCTGCTTTCGTGAAATGAAGCGGACGTACGTGAAAGGGCATGTAAACGCTTTGCACGTAATTTTGGTTGGTTTGAAATTGTCTGGAACAATTATTCAGATGAACGATTGAAGAAAACATTCAGGGTTTCCACATCATCCGCCATCTTTGTAGAATGCTCAAGTGCGCATGCGCTTTAGTGATGGTTAATGAAAACGAGGCCAAAACATGCATCAACATAATTAATGCATTTAGATCTGCCCATGTGAGGTACGGCGTTTGACACGAAGTCGATCTTCAGTCGTTCTTCACGACAGACCTAGTCGTGAAGAACGACTTAGTCGGTCCAAATTGAATCAGTCGAACTTAATTGGGTCAGACGCCGTACTTCACATGACCTTATTACCCTGTATTAGGTTCTGCTCATGTGAATTACGGCGTCTGACCTGGGCCTAAGACTTATTAACTTGTGTCCCTTTATGTGTTACGTCTCTAAATTAGAAGGGACAACTATTTAACGACCCACACTAGCGACAGACTCCCCATCTGCAGATATTTATAGAGCAAAGGCAGTACCTTTTACTAAGATATTTTACGACTCCGAGTATTTGTTTGTCTGTGGATTGAACCCAAAACCTTACACAAAACAGCTGTTCAATCCAATTCACTCAACTAGATGGCGCTATAGGTAAACTCTGGTCCCTAATCACATGCTTATTGTGTTTGAACGTGTGCAGAGTGCAAATATCAATTAATTTGATTGTCTTAGTGTTTTATGCTCTTAAAAACGACTGCAACAGTGTGTGGATTTGACCGCGATTTTGCATTGATTCTTCCCGCACAACAGTCTGGTGCCCAATAACCAACTGAATCAAATGAAAGGAGGTCTCTTTCTTCAGCCACACACACACAAACTGCCGGGATTCGCAATTTTTAAAATTACCTGATGGTGGATCTGGTTTGGAACATCCATCTCCTGACCAACCAGTTAAGCAGACAGGAGGATCCCCACATTTTCCCAATCCATTGTTGGGTTTTCATCATTTCCAAATCCAGTTTCTGGCGGATCTGGTTTTTCAGTCGGCCTGCAAGTCTTAAAAAGGTAAACTTATTCAGTAATACGACAGCTTCTTTTTATCTTATATATTGATCACCTTAGATTTATGACAAATTATGATAAATTATCTCTGTTAAGAGTGTTTTTAGCTCATTCACTTTACCTGGTCATGAGGTGGAATGTCAAAGCAGTATCTAAAATAAAATTTAAGTAAATAGCTACTTAAAGTTCATCTATCTGTTTTCACCTACCAATTTGTTTTAAGGAAAATTGCGATGGATACTTGCATGTCAGTCAGTAAGTCGGTAGGTTCGGGGTAGGATGGCAAGTTGGTAGATAGGTAGACAGTAATACAGAAACGCAGAAAAGCAGGGAGGAAAGGAGGAAGCAGGGAGGAAGGGAGAAAGGTAGGAAGGGAGGCAATGAGGCAATGAGGAAGGGAAGAAGGGAGGCAGGGAGGCAGGGAGGCAGGGAGGCAGGGAGGCAGCCGGAAGGTTGAAAGGTAGATAGGGCAGTAGCCGTATTCACAAAACTCGGGGTACAAATAGCTATACTTACTCGTTGATAACCTGCCCAATACGTCCAGAGCTTAAGCTAAACTTATTTTTCTCACCAATAGTTATACTGAAAACAATTTTCGGTGCACCAATCTTGACCTTCAGTCCTTTTCTACCTAAAGGGTGGCACTTGGGCGAACACAAATTTAGTTTGCTTTCGACTATTATAGGGATTTCCAAACTTAGATTGATAGTTGGTAAAGACTTTATCGGAGATCTTTCTGTTGACAAACGTGGAGATGAGAATATCATTTACATTAAATCGACATACGAACTGTGAACTTAAATCTGACATTAATTATTAAGAGAAAATTTTTTTCAATAATGAGCAATAATGGCAAAAAGCGCCAAAAACTAGACTTTCGTATGACTTTTGATCCTAATTTTCGTTTTGGGTTAACACTCAAAACCTTTTTTAAACAGTTAGGAATTGATGTACTATGCTAAAATGCCTGTTTGAAGCGGTATTTCCAATTGTACAAATATGTTTTGTTGCATTTGTGATAGAATGTTGCTTTGTCAGGCTTTTTTATAGAAAATATATGGGAAATAAGCAAATGAAGGCCTAAACCTCATTTTCAAATAACATTTTTGCTCTGGGTTAACACTTTGATTCCATTTTCATCGGTCTTCTCCACTTCCAAACAAGTCAAACTTTCCGAATAACAAAATTTTAGCCTCGTACAACAGCCTTTCTTCAAGAAAATAGTCTTTGGCGCTCACTGCTTGAATACGAAAAGAATTCTCTCTTAATATATTAGGATGATCATAGTTTAACGCATTGCTTACCTTTGATCTCCTTTAATATTAGTTTAAATAACCTTTTTATTATTTTCGGTATTTTAGGCATAGCAGGAATTTGCAACCTCAAGCGTGGTGTAAAACTGAAACTAAATGACAGCTCTCCGCTCGTACTAGCACGGAAGCCCTTTGACTTT